ACTTATCGATACAACTGAGATATTTAGTCACATTAAGAACTTCTTTTCACACATCAAATAGTCGTCTGTCACAGGAATTGATCTTGCAGCAAAAAACATGGCCAACCAATTCTTATTGTGAGATTTGATTGGTTGATTTGTGGATCTATTATTGATTTATTGAGTGATTATATCATTGACATTGATAGGCATTTAGTCCAAATACCTTAAAGGAAAATAGACCCATTACAAATGGTGTCATTTTGTATTTACAGATTTTAAATTCGATTGCCCTTTAGAATCAGTGTGTTGGGTTCTCCGGTTTCTTTGGGATCAACAGTTTGTGTTCTCCAATTTCCCCCCACTGCTAAATAACTCTGGACACAACGTTTTGGATTAAAACAGTTTATATAATAATATATTTATTTCATACACAAGGTATACATGCAGAAGTACATACAGATGCGATAATATTAATAATAATGGTAGTAATACTAATAATAAAATTTACAATAATTTTACAATTATTTACAGTTTCATAAATACATATGTTTAATTAAGTTAAATTGAGTTATTTTGTACATAAATACTCTATAATCTCGTTTATTTGTTCTTTATCACAAACTTCATGAGAATGTTTCATAAATAAGATGTCATTTATAGCTGCCTAGCAGTTTGCAGGTCATTAACTTTATATAATATGTTAGTTACAAAATGACCTAGTTAGTGCTGATAAAATTCAGGATTTTTCAATCACAAATCATGGATTTATCTTTTTGTTTAGATTAATACTTAGGAATTGTTAAGAATGTGATACAGGACAAAGTTTGTGATAAAATATTTTTAAGGGAATATATATTAGGGAATATAGAAAAACTTTATATCGAATTCTATAATTTGTAAAACATTTTGTAGGGTTATCATTATCGGAATTGTTAAGAATGTGATACAAGACAAAGTTTGTGATAAAATTTTTTTACGGTATATATTAGGGAATATAGAAAACTTCTATATCGAATTCTATAAATTGTAAAACATTTTGTAGGGTTATGATTTTGGGAGCATTTTGATATAGAAACTTGGAAGTGTGATAGAGGGCAACGTTCTCAAACAAATTTGCTAAAACGTAGTGGGATATTTATAGGGGTATAAAGTGAAACATGTTAAAACAGAAATATTGTGGCAGTTTTAAAATTGATCCACATCTCTTATCCCGTTCCGACACACTTAAACTCGCCGGCTCCAGCCTGCTTTTCGCAAGAGCAGTAAGCTATTGTCCTCACAAAATGACGACTAATGCCCATGCATAATTAACTCTATTCCTTTAACCAAAGAGGACAAAATAGTTAAACTGGTTTGGTTTATACTTTATACTGCACATAGCACATGTGAACACAACACTATCCTGTCTTAAAATCCCCGGCGATTTTAAACTAGCTTAAATATAAGCACTTTAACAGGCTAAATGATCAATACAGTATACAGACCTGGAAATAATGCTTTATAGGACGATTTATGTTGTTACTATATATGTTTGTTTATTGTTTTTCAAATTTTATTAGAAATTGTTCAAATAATCATTATATCATATTTGTAGATTTTAGTAAGCTGTAATTTATTAACCCTTTAGAGCGCCCCGAACCACCCTGACTAGGGCTCCTTAGACTGCCCAGTCACATGCACCCACAAGAACTAGTTAATGGCCCGAATACAGAAAGCTAGCACATATCTCAGGCGGTTTCAGTCTGTCCAGTGATGTACCAGTATTGATATATCACTTCTCTCTAATTTTCATCAAGGAGCTGATGGGGTATAGTCAACATTTACATGTACCTAAAGGGTTAATAATAAATTTTCAGTTAATTCACAGTTTTGTTCTTTTATTCTGCTTTGATTAAACTGAGCAACTTACTGCATTGGCATAAATTGTAAACCTATAAAAATTAAGAATACTTGTATGTTGCCTGTAAATCACGGAGTTAACGCCCACGCTCCATGGTGTCAAAGTCTATATTTCCATTTTAACATGGAATATTGTGATGACCGACTTAGTGTTCATCAGACATTAACAATTTTAAATTTTCATTCATTTCTTTCCCTTTGATCATGAAAATTTCGGTCAGACTCCAATTCATTTCATTATGCTCTTTTAACTCAAGACAAATATAATGAATATTTTAAACAGAAACATATGTAGAATTACTTCGGCGTCCATCTTTGAATATTTAATAAGTACTGTTTGGTGATACAAGATACAGGACAAAGGAACTCAAAGGTTGAAATTTTATTGGCCAATTATCTAGCCATTTCATAACTTTGTATGTGAAGGCAAATACTGACTTGAGGTCTTGTTTTGACTAGGGATATTATATTGGACTGTTTATAGCCGACTGCTAGTGTGAAAAAGATGAAATTCTATTGGTCGATTTAATAGTTATTTTATTAATTTTGAAATGAAGGGAAAACTGATGTTTTATCAGGTGTATGATCAATGGATTATTGTTGGCTTCTAGTCTCAAAAGGTTGCAATTCCATTGTGCGTTATTTAATTAATTTTTTCTGTGAATATAAATACTGACTTGAGGTGGTATATTCTTACCAGGGATATTGATGACTGAATGTAGCCGTCTGCTAGTCTCAAAACATTGAAATTCTATTGGTCGATGTAATGATTATTTAATTAATTTAGAATTTAAGGTAAATACTGTGCTGTTTTACCAGGGTGTAATCAATCGACTATTCTTCAGTCATTGGTTTTTTTTTACAAGGACAGCTGTCTAGTCGTTCGGATGGGACGAAAAACCGAGGTCCCGTGTACATATTGGCGTGCACATACAAGATCCCTTGGCAGTTGGAATTCGATATAAGAATAGGCCGTAGCGCTGCTGCCCAGGCAAAATTTCCCTCATAGCACACCATATGGCGTATGCCCGTCTTCATTAGCCCAGTTTAGGAGCAGAACAGTAGGACGTTAAACCCGATTACATTTCATTTCAGTCATTGTTTTTTAAGGTGAGCGATCGCTCTCGAGCGTCTGTTGCTCACCTGAATGTCATCCGAGCAGAGGTTTTTCTCCCTCCTCTTAAAATTGAAAATCACTCTCCTTTACAAAGTCATTGGGGGTTTTATTATCATTTATGAAACCAGGAATGATCCTCTAGCATGCAGTTATTGATCTTCAGAACCATTCCCCATACACACAACTAATCACTCTCCTTAATATCACATCACTCTCCTTAATTTTTAAATCACTCTTCTTACCGCAACTGGGAGAGTTTTTTTAGGGGAGTGATTTTTTCAATTTGTTGATCAAGGGGAGTTTTTTTTCAGCTCTCCTCTAAAATACAAACAATGACTGGTTCTTGGTCCTAAAGTGTTGCTATCTTCTCTAGTCCCAACCTGGCTATCTCTTAGCCATTGTGAACATTAAATCCTGTTTCTCTCTATCTCCCGCCATCTTCAAAAAAGGTTCAATTTTAGATGTCCACGTCAATCTAGTTCAGAGATTTTGATCCACATTGTCTTAAATTACAGCTACCAAAATAAATTAGAGGGTATTTAAAGTTGAAGCAGTTTAAAGGCTTTAAATATATACAATATAATTATTTCCTTTGATCGACTCTATATTTAGATAACATGTTAAGTACATGTCATATTTACATTAGGTCATTTTCTGTTGTGTAATATTTATGTCTGATGTGAGGGTTTATTTTTGAAATGTGATCATACCCTGGTGAATATGAAATTATCTGTTGTATACGGGTATATGAAACTGTGATATACAAACTCATATTTATGAAGTTTTCTCACTCGGCAAACCTCAGTATCCTACATTTAGCCTCGGCTGTATGATTAATTCCGCCATTGAAACTACTTTCAAGTTCCCGGATTACAAATGGCAGTGCCCATGAAGACGCCTGTGATGAATCTTTTGTCATACAAAGTTTTCAATGTCTGAAGGTGTTTTTCTTTCAAGTTTATCCGATTTTTTTTAAACAAAGGACAACTTTGCAATGAAAACTCTACACACTCTTTGAACGATGCCATTTTCTAAAAGCAGCAAGTTTTTCTATTAAGTAAACCGATAGCCGCATTGCAATTGTATGGGTGTAGGTACATATCACTTACCATCGTACAGCCGTTGCTAGATTTAGAGTACTGGAAGTACAAAGGAACTGATTTTAAAAAAAATGATCTGTGGTATACGAATTGGTCAATCGAAATGTTCTGTTCATCATAGCTTTGTAAATACTGAAAGAAATTAAACCATTTTTGGACAGATATTCCTTTAAAGCGGTGAACACACCAGACGAATGATTCGGCCGAATCAATCAGCGCTGAAATTCGCCAGGTATGTCCAGTGTCATTCAGGCAAATCAAACACTATTCACCTAGTGTGTCCGCTACGCCAATCACCACTGATATTGAGAAGTCACATGATTATTTGAAGACATGGTTGCTGCTTTAATGGAGATGCAATTGCCTGGTGAATCAGGCTTAGGATTCGCCTGGTGTGTCCACTCATTCGACAGCAATTCACCGCTGATTGATTCGGCCGAATGATTCGTCTTGTGTGTCTACCGCTTAAGGGAATCAACTTTACCAGTACCACAATAGCTTGCAAGGGATTGGTTTTATTATTATAAAGTAAAAGGATTGGACAAAAGATACATAAACTTATAAAGATATACTTTCTCAAGATAACAAAAGTTGCAAAATAAAGAAGAGAATTAAGGGATTAAAAAACATTCAAATGTTTTGTGAATATGTTCAAGTCTGGTCATAAGGCACCCGTTAAGTACAGATTATCACAAGGTGTATATATACAATCTTGGACATCAGGTACCTGTCACAAACTTTGTCAGGCACTAATTATTACACAACCTATATATTATAATATCTACATTGTGTGATAATTTTTGTCTGACAAAGTCTGTGACGCGGGTGCCTTCTGTCTAGACTTGGTTATGGTAATATCAAATTATACTAATGAATTAATATGTTTTTACTTTACTTTCCAGGAGGATGAATGGTCCAAATTCTAGTCGACATCACAAAAATCCAAATGGCCCACCGGTTACAAAAACCCCAGCAGTTGTACCTACACTTCGTATACAAGCAGAAACACCACGGACTACTCCAGTCCCACAGCAAAATAATGACAAATCCATCCATTTTCCCGCCCTCTCTAGTGCCAGATCTTTGATCAGTAACGGTAAACCGTCTCCGAGACAGAACGTCACACCCGTTGGAGATAAGAGCAAGAAATCGTTACATGGAAGAAATAATCAACAACACACCCCGAACACATTACATCATTCTTTTGGAGGACAGAACAACAAACAAGGTAAGTTATGGCAGGACCTCATTGCAATTGTCTTGGTATTGTATCATATCAAAACTTGAAGTCTGTCAATCAGTGGGCAATTGTCCAAAGAAATGAAATGAAATGAAATGAAGACGGGCATACCCCATACAGTGCGCTATGAGGGAAATTTTGCCCGGGCAGCGGCACTAGGACCTACTCTTAATTGTCCAAAGAACAGGCATGCTAAGTTTTATGGCGATCATACTTGAATTTGTGAATCTTAGACTTTTATTTAAAAGTATTACCACCCCATTAATTGTCAGTTAAAAGAAAGGGGAGCCACAGAGACTCAAGTCAGTAAGGTGCTGGCTCACAAAACAGCCGGAGGTCCCATGTTCCATATCGGTGTTTGCTAATTAGACTTCCTCAGAATTTCCCAGCCTTGTTTCCTCTTACCTGTTTTCAGCAATGGTGGACCCTGCTGGGAAAAGTTTCTTGTCCTTTGGGAGCGAGGGGGGGGGCACATGTTGGATCAGAAGTTCTGTCATTGAGCCATGTGGATGGTTTCGATTTCCCGCTTGTACGTGAAAAGGAGTAGGGTCGCCCGTCCAACCTCATGAGTTTCTCTGGGTGCTCTGGTAAGTCCCACTGCTAAAGACCCCTCCTTGCAAGTAAATTATTGAAATAAAATTCAACCATATGTTAGTCCCGAAATTACCTAGTTTGTGTCGAGTGGACTTTAAGCCCCATTTCTCTCTCTTTCTCTCTGTTCCTTTGATTTTGAATGGGACAAAACCCAATGGCCTCTCTTGAACTCGTTGCTGTGCACGTACAGATCCCTTGACAGTCCGATTCAATGAAGCGTCGTAGCTCAGGCAGAATTACACTCCGAGTGCACTCCATGGGGTATGGTCTTCATTAGCAGATTGGTGCAGAAAGTCAGACGTTAAACCCCATTTCATTTCATTTAAACAGAAACATGTGATATTTGACCTTGATGAGTGTGTAAAGGTTAGAATGTAATATCTATAAAGTATGATTTATAATATTTACTATCATAGAAGTCATCATGATGATATATTATACCTTATTATTACCTACATGACTCGATCTACTATAAATATTCCCTCTAGACTATCAGTGTCTATATACATACCCTATATTGGTCCCAGTATATTTAAATAGCCCTTTAAATTTATACTCTTATCGGACAGGCTGGAATTTGCTATATAAGCATATGGCATCATTTCAGTACACTTTTTCATGTCTGGAAATAAGGTAGCTGTCATTTTCAAACACAAAATATCCACGGAACCGATGCTTAAGTGTTGATAATTCCAGCCAATCAGGAGTCACTGGGGGCAGAGCTTAGGAACTGATACTAGACTAATTAATGACCGGCAAATTTTCCACGAGATAACTAAGAGTAAACTTATCTCAGGGAGCCAAGATTGGGATTCTTCAAACCCTAAAATAACATTCTTTAAAAACTATATTAGGAACAAGCTTTTAAAAGGTCCAACTTTTACTGAGTTATCTTCTACCTAACAGACTTTGGCTTCCGGATTCTAACCAACGCACCATTTAGTTGTAGGTGTTGATGGGTGCCATACACTTGTAGGAGTTGATGGGTGCCATACACAATTAAGGCAACGAGTATCAGTACCAGATTTTTGGGTTGAGTACTAGATAATGAATAAATACGATTTTTGACTAAAGGTTTCTCAAATAGCCATGTTCTAATTAATACAACAAAGTGTTGAATATTTTATTTAACTTGTGTTACTCACCCAGATTATACCTTAGAATGCACTAATTTTCAAAATTTCCTGGGAGGATTCGCCCTACACTGGACGCTACTTTTTTTTTTTCTTAACCTCAGGTTTTCATCCCATCCAAACGAGACACTGTCCTGTAGCACCTTACTCACTTATCCACTGTGGCTTCCCAACTGAAAATTGAACATAATATTTCAAATGGTTACTTTCTAGGACACCCCAGACCACCTCTCATTTGGGGAGTTTGTAAAATTATAGTTCATATTATTGCCAATTTTTTTTTTCTTGTACTGAAACATTAAAATGGTTATTTTCTAGGACACCCCAGACCACCTTTCAAATTATAGTTACCAAATTTTTTTTTGTACTGCAACATTATATAACATTTTGAATTTCAATATATTTTTAGAAATTGATATAAACTTGTTGACACACCTAACCAATTTTTGTTGCATTGAAACCATACATATGATTTTGAATTTCTCTAAATTTTTAAAGGGGGGGTTAGGTGGCCGAATGATTTTAACGCTGTAGACCACTACGCTGAAGCTAATTTTTGAAATAAAATTATTATCCAGAAATGACATTGTTTGTGTGGAGTGGTTAAACCCTCTCTCTCACAATCTTTTTTTTTAAAAATGCATAGAAAAAAAAAAATTCTTTTGAAAATTGATCATGCAGTTAAGAATGATTTGTGCTTGAAAAAAACCACAATATTAATTAAAGGATATGACCAAAAATATCACGAAAAAAGGGGTGTATATATACTGTAGTCCCTATATAAAAACAGTGGTCTATTTATCATAGATTCAGGATGTTTGTCATATTAAACTAATAACACATTGAGGGCTTTGTTACTGTTGGCGTGTCGTAACACGTTGTTATGGTGGAGATTGATATTCCTGTCAACATACTGAAGATTATAGCCGATAATAACAAACTTAATATGTCTTTAAATATAACACTTTAAAGATACGGTCTATACCTTGTTTTAACACTTTAAAGATACAGTTTGTGGTAGATAACACTTTATATATAGGCCCAATACCTAGATATAAACACTTTAAATTATAAAGGCTCAGTACCCAGGTATAGTATAACACTTTAAAGATACGGTCTATGTCTTGTAATAACTCTTTAAAGATACATTATGGGTGATTCGGTAACGAGTTGGCAGTTCTCACTATAATAGTTAAAAACTAGGTAATGTAAAGGCAATTTGGTGAAAATTTCATTCAAATTGATCCACTATGAACCGAGAACTAAGCGACTGAAATTCCAATAAGCCTCGGTCATCTTTACTAAAGTCAGTACGATAAACAGCATAGTCTCGATTATCCATTTAATCGTTTAATCGAGAAGGAAAGTTATGCAGTAAATCAGCTTACAATCCACTAAAGATCGCAGGTAAGCGCTGCCATCTAGAGTTGATTATGGCCTGGATAGGTTAATTAATGTCTAATTAATAATTTAGATAACATTTCAGGCCTAAAGAAAGACCTGAAATAGGCAGATTTAGCTCTTGCATAATGTATGTTTAAAGAGAGAGAGAAATGGGGTCTATCGGCCACTCGACAAAAAATAGGTCATTTCATGACTAACATATGGTTTAATTTTATTTCTATAATTCATTTTGCGTAGATGTCTTTGGTTGTGAGAGAAAACCCATGAGGTTGGGCATTACTCTTTGTCACGTACAAGCGAGGAATCAAAACCATGCTACTTGACTCAATTACAAACCTTATGTTCTTATGCGCACACGTTATAACTATTCGCCCATCCCCCCACCCCAACACTTTAAAGACATTGTCTATACCTTGTAATAATAAACTTAATATGTCTTTAGATAACGCTTTAAATATACGGTCTCCTGGATATTTGTAGTAGATATCACACTTTAAAGATATGGTCTATACCTAGATATTACACTTTGTGGTAGATATAACTCTTAAAAGATACAGTCTACACCTAGATATTACACTTTAAAGATACAATTTGTACCAAGATATAACACTTTAAAGATACGGTCAATATACCATGATTTTACACTTTAACGATATGGTCTATGTCTTTTTATAACAGCTCACAATTGGAATTAGATGAAGACTATTGGGAAACGCTGCTGTGTGGGCAAAAATTCCCCTCATAACACACTGTATGGCGTATGCCCATTAGGACGTTAAATCCCATTTGATTTCTATGCCTTGTTTAACACTTTCAAGATACAGTTTTTGCCAGATATTACACTTTATAGATACAGTTTGACAGTTAAAATTCAATGAAGAGTATTTTGAAATGCCTCTGTGTTGGCAAAATCCCCCTAACAGCACACAGTATAACGTACATCTATACCAAATTTCATTAGCCCAGTTGCACATGGTGCAGAAAAGTAGGACATTAAACCCCGATTTCGTTTCCCTTTAATGATTTAATGTTGAATGTGTACATATTAAGCACCTGTTTATCAGACATTGTCAATATCAGAAGTTATAAAAATTTTATCACCATCTTTGATGTCCATTTTATTAGTTTTATATTGAGCCTTTAACGAGACATTCATCAATATTTTATTTTATAACACTTCGTCGTTTATTATTCATCACCTGTGTATTAGCGCTGTGTAATTTTTATGTCAACGTGCTACATAACACTTCAGGTTTTAATTATTTGTCGAAAACAACAAAATGGTGATTTTTACAGTTTCTGACTCATTTTATTTGAAAAATGAAAGGAATGTCATGATTAGGTATCTTGGTATGTTGAGACTTCATTGAAAGTCAATCTTTATTTGGACTTGCCATCTCATTTTCATATTTGGGCATGTGGTTTCTAGAACATTATAATTTTCGCTATACAGGAATATTAAATTGAAATTAACCCACTCAAACAAATTAGAAAAAAAATGAGCGCTGTCCCAAATAATATCCATTAATGAAGTGAAATATCAGTTTTTCGACTCACAGACCAACATGGCACTTTAAAGTTTCTCATAGTATTTCCCATTAATGAGGGGGGGTGGATGGCCGAATGATTAGCACGCGCGCGCTGTATCATACGGTCTGTCATTGAGTCAACTGGCGTGGTTTCAATTCCCCGGTTGTACGTGACAATGAGTACGGTCGCCTGTCCAACCTCGTGGGTTTTCTCTGTGTCCTCCGGTTTCCTCCCACTGCTAAAGACCCCTACACGCAAGTGAGTTATTGAAATAAAATTGAACCATGTGTTAGTCCCGAAATGACCTAGTTTGTGTCGAGTGGACGTTAAACCCCATCTCTCTCTCTCTCTTTCCCATCAATGAAGTAGGATGGATTTCCTGATAGGCCTACAGTGTCTAGTGGTACGGATGGAACACAAAAATGAAGTCCTGTCTAGACTCTAGACACTGTGTTGCACGTAAAATCCCCCTCATAGTATGTATTATACCCATTTACCATTCTTCATCTAGCCCAGTTGGTGCAGAAAAGTAAACCCTATTTAATTCCGTAATAGATATATTTGTACGGTGTTGTATTATCTCCTGGCAAAGAACAGCCTCTAGTCATTTTGATGGGACAAAAAAATCAACCAGGTCCTGTCTACATATTGGAATTCATCAAAGAGTAGACAGAAGGCCAGCCGTCCGGGCAGAATTTCCTTCATTGCATGATCAGAAGGATGTTAAATTTAAAGCCAATTTCATTCCTCAAGTAAAATGTATTTGTATGCTGACCATTCCAGACATTCCTATGTATGTTTATATAATGTTAGTATATGAATTCTTGTTATCACATGTTGTACTATATAAACATTTTAAACAATAAACAAACATAAAATACAGATAAACTGTCTTCTTACAATATAACACACACACTCATACAATAATTTATTATAAAAATACTCTTATCATAGGAGGTAGATAGACAGGAGTAGAAATTCTTTCTTAATCCCACTCGCCCGCTGTACTATATGTTGTTTGTGATATCCCACTTGACCACTGTACTCTATGTTATTTATAGAGTCCCACTTGCCCACTAGTGTCCCACTCGCCCACTGTACAATGTTATTTGTAGTGTCCCACTTGTCCACTGTACATGTTATTTGTTGTGTCCACTTGCCCACTGTACTATATGTTGTTTGTGATATCCCTCTTGCCCACTGTACTCTATGTTATTTATAGAGTCCCACTTGCCCACTAGTGTCCCACTCGCCCACTGTACAATGTTATTTGTAGTGTCCCACTTGCCCACTGTACATGTTATTTGTGGTGTCCACTTGCCCACTGTACTATATGTTATATGTGTTATCCCCATTCCCCACTTGTGCACTGAACTATATGTTATTTGTAGTATCCCACTCGCCCACTGAACTATATGTTATTTGTAGTATCCCACTCGCCCACTGAACTATATGTTATTTGTAGTATCCCACTCGCCCCCTGTATTGTATAACCATTGGTTCCCACTTGCCCACTGTATTCTATGTTAACCACAGGATCCCACTCACCCACTGTACTCTGTTATTTGTTGGATCCCTCTTGGCCACTGTATTGTATGTCAATCATGGGACTCCATCCGCCCACTGTATTGTATGTTAATCATGTAGTCCCACTTGCCCACTGTATTGTGTGTTAACCATTGGTTCCCAATCGCCCACTGTACTCTATGTTATTTGTGGGATCCCATTTGGCCACTTGATTGTATGTTATTGGATCCCATTTGCCCACTGGTTTGTATGTTACTGGATCCCGGTGTACTGTACGTTATGTATAATTTTTATGCCCCTAAAATGGTAGGACTTCAAAATGGACTTCACTTGACTTTACATTTCTGTTTCATAAACCAGCAGTCTTTGGTTAAGTATAAAACTCACCAACTGAGATCATTCAAGTAAATATATTTAGTGAACCCCTACTGACCGCCCTTATAGTTTTGAAAGGGTTTTCTGGGATTGTGATACTATTTTAGCAATTCTTAGGGCTTGGCTTCATTTCTCATATAAACCCCAAATAATAAAAGCTGCGAGATTGCTTTTCAATACTGCTTTCAAAACAATTTAAAAGAGGTTTTTTTTCTCTCTTTTCAGATAATCGACAAAATGCATTGGCTAGTTTTCAGTGCTTTGGACTTGGAAACGCCCACACACCAAGAAATGTCTCTAACAACGGATCAAATAATACAAGCACATCAGATTATCATCATAATTCTAAGTCATCTTACATTCAACTTCCATTACCTAATCAGCATTTACAAACCGTCACCCCAACCCCGAGTGAAATATCCAGTATTCAATCAGGAGATAGTCCCCGAGTGAGTTTATCCACAGCCCAATCTGAACGACGCAATTCGTTATCAACATCAGAAGCTGCGCTCAGTCGACCGACAACAAGTGAGAAAAATGTTTTTCTGGAGCCAGCGCTACCCAAACAAACTGATTGGACCCATTATAAGCCCCTACCTTCAGTCACACCAAACGGACAGGGACCGGGCCCAGGATCCATTGCTGGTAGTGAAATGGATCAGTTTGGACAAAATGGCAGTTCTATATCTCAGTACCAAGGAAGTGTCAGCAATCTGTCTCCATCCCAGGCAGATATCTCTATATACACAACCACTTCCATGTACACTACAAGTTCGCGGAACTCAGCAAATGGAGGTCACAGGCACGCTCAGAAGAGGGCATTGTCCATTTCACCATCTGTATCCGATTACATGGATATCACCCAAGTTATTCGCTATTCGCCCACGTCGTTGATGGGCGGATCACGGAGCTCCTCTCTCAGTACCTCACCCCAGCCCATTCAGCCAACTGGTTCCTTTTCTCATTTGTCGGCAAGGAATAGTCCCTACTCCAATAATGGCTCCGGTGGACATCGCTTCTCCCAATCACACTTCACGACCAACAACTGTAACCGCCACGAGAATGCCAACAGTTATAACTATGTGCCAGAGTGTAATGGCGGATACGTCGATCTGATGAGTAACCAATGTGTCGCTCCTTATAACGAAAACCTTTTGATGGAACAGAATTATCAGAACGGACATTTTGATATCCAGATGCAACATTCTGGTGTTCAGCATCACATGCCACAGTACATGAACAATGCTGTAAGTACAACCATGAGCAATAATGGTATGAACAACCGTACCATGAACAATTCTGGTATGAACAACTGTACCATGAACAATCCAACCATGAACAATTCTGGTATGAACAACCGTACCATGAACAATCCAACCATGAATAATTCTATGAACAGTAATGGCATGAACAATTCCACCATGAATTGTTCTGGCATGGACGGCAGTGGTATGAACAATATGAGAATGAACGGTGCTCTGAACAATCTAAGTAGTGCTATGAACAGAGGCATGCATCAAATGGGCTCGGGACCGGCTGGTTCTATAAACGGGATGCATCTGCCAATTCGACCTCCACCTTCATACAATCAGGCTGTTGAACAACAACAGCAGCAATTGCAGCAACAAGCCACACTGGCAACCCAGCAACAATCCATGGAGAATTTCATAGCAAACATACCAACTTCCAAAGCTCTGTCAATCAAAAATGAATTTACGGACGATGAAAACGGAGAAGAAAAACACACTTGTCTGTGGGCTAATTGTAGCTCAATGTTTAAAGAGATCGAGGAACTTGTCCGCCATATTGAAAAGATGCACATAGACCAGCGTAAAGGGGATGATTTTACATGTTTCTGGCAGGGTTGCACACGACGTTACAAACCATTTAACGCCCGCTACAAACTCTTGATACACATGCGAGTTCATTCTGGGGAGAAGCCGAATAAATGTACAGTAAGTAACTGATTCATATTTTATTGAATATTTCCGCTATCATAAACGTGCTGAAGCCATTTTTAAATGAACCAACCAGATGCCAGAATTGGTTCAAAAGAAATCCTGGTAGGAAATAGGGTAATTAAGATCCCATTCCCTTTAATATAACCAGATTTGAACAAAAATAATTCTTAACGAGATAAAGGTTCTTGTACGGATGTTAAAGATGAATAACATGGTTCTTGTTTCACAGTTTGTCACTAAAATTGACTGGCTGGCATTTGTCAACTTACCTGTCAGTGAAATCACATCAAAATCCATACAAAAATTGGAAAATTCTAAATAGTGATAATCTGCGATATCACCCTAGGTGGAACAAACAAACAAACAAACTAGATATATCCCATTCTTTGGATAAAATAAGTAACATAAACATAATATATATCAAAAATTTACTGACTGCTGCAAAGTTTTGAATTGAAAGCTCTGCTGAGTGTAGAGTGCTGGACCAAAACAAATTTTGAGGACCCATACAGGAACTGTGTGAGGAGTACTAAGGTCTATGCAAAAAAATAAGGTTTCTAAATTGACCCCAGGGTAGCCAGAGTAGAACATGCTGACAAAAAAAAATTAAATAGATATTTATGGGTACCCTATTGGGCTTCATATACTGGCAGCTCCCCACCCCATCCCTCTCCTCGGTCTTGCATAGATGGGCAGTGGCTTGTAGTTTAAGTTTAATATTCTTATTAGAATGATTTCCTATTTTTTGTTTCTTTACAGTTTGAGAATTGTACCAAGGCTTTTTCACGCTTGGAGAATTTAAAGATACATTTGAGGTCCCACACGGGAGAGCGGCCATATTTATGCACATATAAAAATTGTCCCAAAGCTTTTAGTAATTCGTCTGACAGAGCAAAGCATCAACGCACTCATTTAGACACGGTAAGTTTATATGTAAACAACAGGACTTGGGATGTATACTGTCTATAGCCCTATGTAATGGCCTCCAAACTTAACTATATAGTATTAAAATACTATATAGTTAAGTTTGGAGGCCACTGTGGTTTGGGACCTAGACCGTCTATAGGCCTATATTATTAATACTTTATTTAAGTTTGGGAGCCACAGTGGTTTGGGACCTAGATTGTCTATAGGCCTATATTATTAATACTTTATTTAAGTTTGGGAGCCACAGTGGTTTGGGATCTAGATTGTCTATAGCCCTATATTATTAATTCTTCATTTAAGCTTGGGAGTCATGATGGTTTGGGATCTAGACTGTCTATTACTGTGTATTATTAATCCTTCATTTAAGCTTGGGAGTCATTATGGTTTGGGATCTAGACAGTCTATTGCTGTGTATTATTAATCCTTCAATTAAGCTTGGGAGTCATGATGGTTTGGGATCTAGACAGTCTATTGCTGTGTATTATTAATCCTTCATTTAAGCTTGGGAGTCATGATGGTTTGGGATCTAGACAGTCTATTGCTGTGTATTATTAATCCTTCAATTAAGCTTGGGAGTCATGATGGTTTGGGATCTAGACAGTCTATTGCTGTGTATTATTAATCCTTCATTTAAGCTTGGGAGTCATGATGGTTTGGGATCTAGACAGTCTATTGCTGTGTATTATTAATCCTTCATTTAAGTTTAGGAGCCACGATGGTTTGGGACCTAGATTGTCCTATAGCCCTATATTATTAATACTTTATTTTGGGAATCATGATGGTTTGGGACATAGACTGTCTATAGCTGTGTATTATGGGATCTAAACTGTCTATAGCCGTGTATTATTAATCCTTCATTTAAGCTTGGAAGCCATGATGGTTTGGGAGCTAGACTGTCTATAGCCCTGTATAATTAATACTTTATTTAAGATTGGAAGCCATGATGATTTGGGAGCTAGACTGTCTATAGGCCTGTATTGTTTATACTTCATTTAAGTTTGGGAGCCACAGACGTTTGGCATCTAGACTGTCTGTAGCCCTGTATAATTAATACTGGGAAGCCATGATGGTTTGGGACCTAGACTGTCTATAGCCCTGTATTATTAATACTTCATTTATGTTTGGGAGCCAAAGTGGCTCGATGAGTATGGCTTCACCTTCTCATTTGTGCATGACTTAGGGTCTGGCAAGGAAAAGCATCGATCCTATGCCTGAAATCAAAGTGTGAGTAGCCTCTGGTACTGCTGTCTGGGGAAAATTTCCTTCAAATTTAACAGCACGTTAAATTTCATTTCATTTTATTTGACGATGGCTGGAAATTTTAAAGGAACATTAGTTTTATTCTGTTGAATGTTTCAGAAACCGTATGCTTGTCAAGTTGCTGGTTGCACCAAACGATATACCGATCCCAGTTCATTACGTAAACACACTAAAAATCACACACAGAAAGATCAACAACAGAAGAAAAAGGTAAGAGCAGGGCAGTCATTTTACTCATATTTACAAATCTTGTCTGATTTAAAGTAAAAATGACCAGTTAGAGAACTTGACCTGTCAGTCATTTTTACATACATATAAAATTAGAAGTTCAAAGAATTTACCCTTAAACAATAAATAAAGTTATAGTTTTTGTGTAAAACCTTTTATTGGCATATTTATAAAAATAATTTGAAATACTGCTATACATGCACATACAGTTGGAATTCGAAGAACACTGAATTAAAATCCTAAAAATCAAAGTAATGTCTTGTGAAACTTTACACCACCAGTGATGTCAGTGATGTAGGACACAGAGAGAGAGAGAGGGATATGGGGTTTAAGGTCCAATTGACACAAACTAGGTCATTTTGGGACTAACACATGGTGCAATTTTATTTCAATAATTCGCTTGCGCATAGGGGTCTTTAGCAGTGGGAGGAAACCGGAGGACCCAGAGAAAACCCACAAGGTTGGACAGGCGACCCTACTCCTTGTCACGTACAACCGGGCAATCGAAACCACGCCAGTTGACTCAATGACAGACCTTATGATGCAGCGCGCATGTGCTAACCATTCGGCCATCCAAGCCCCCCACACAGTTGGTATTCAAGATCAGAGTAATCCTTTGCGCTGCTGTCCAGGCAAAATTTCCTTCATAGCACACTGCATGGCATATACCCGTCTCCATTATCCCAGTAGGAGTAAAACAGTAGGACTTTAAACCTCATTTCATTTCATTTGCCTTCCATTCAATTCCCTGGCTAAAAGTGACTGTGTCTCTTTAAATTAGTGTAGTCTGCGACATCAAGGCAGCCTGTATATACTTGATTTATTGTCACTGGTATAATAGAGAATGATTTATGTAGGTGATTCAGATTAAAACACTTAGTAAATGCCAGGTTTTCATGTTTAAACAGTTACTATGTAAACAAAAAAACTCAGAAAAAGCAGAGTATTATTTTTACTGTGTAATGGTAATTACATGTACCATTCACAGATCTTATCCCACTTACATAGATCTTATCCCACTCACACTTCACACATCTGATAATAAAGCCAAATCAATTTAATTGATAGTTGTGTCAGTACTACTACCCCACAAAATGTGACTGAATAATCTTGATATTGGAGAAAAGGGGTTAAAGATGGACTTTATCAATTTATACATCCAGTCACTGCATATCTACCTCCCTAAAACCAGCCCATGTAGGGTGGATGTATATATCTATCAAAAAACATATTTTGAATTTGTGATTGAACTGCCTGCCTCTGTACTTGTTCTTGATCAATTATTAGCAACTCAAGGCTCGTGAACAATGTTCTGTTTAAAATTTGAAAAATATTGGTTTATTTTCTCTAAGAAATATTATGTGTTCCTGAAGAACAAACATTAAAATTCTTGTGGCCTAATACACATTTAAGTCACATTCACAATACACATTAAAGGCCCATGCTATGTTTAATGAATGGAGTTGTGTGGGCGACATGTCTAACATGTTTGGATGGGACGAAAACCTAAGGTCCTGTGAGTATGCTGCATGGCATATGCCTGTCTTCATCAGCCTGGTTGGTGTACAAAACATGCCCAAACATGTCAACTTTTCTGATAATGAGAAGTGATAACAGGTGTTCTAAAAACTGTATACCACTTCTTTCACAACCACTTTTATTGTTTCAGTTAAAGACAGAAGTTGATATGAGCCAACCAGATGTATTAAAGGATTGTTTAAAGATACATCAGCTACGATCAAACGGTTCACCCATGGATCACACAGATAGTTGCATGGGAAGATCACCACATTCTTCTATAGCAGACATGTATCCTCCAGGTAAGTTGTCTACCAAGTTTCTCTAAAGCAGACATGTATGTATCCTCCAGGTTAGTTGTCTACCAAGTTCCTCTATAGTAGACATGTATCTTTTAGGTAAGTTGTCTACTGAGTTCCTCTATAGTAACCATGTATCCTCCAGGTAAGTTGTCTACCAAGTTCCTCTATAGCAGACATGTATCCTCCAGGTAAGTTGTCTACCAAGTTTCTCTATAGCAGACATGTATCCTTCAGGTAAGTTGTCTACTGAGTTCCTCTATAGCAGACATGTATCCTCCAGGTAAGTTGTCTACCAACTTCACTTCCTCTATAGTAGACATGTATCATCCAGGTAAGTTGTCTACCGAGTTCCTCTATGGCAGACATGTATCCTCCTGGTAAGTTATTACTAGTCGAGTGGACATCAAATGCTTGTAAGTTCATGGTCTGGGTCTAATTAATGCAGTAAACAAAAGTATATAGACTAAGAAATAACTTTTACGAACAATACTGCCAAGGCTTGATGACCCATTTCAACACTGGATCAAGCTGTTAATGATGAAGGGGTATTATCAAACAACTGTATCATACAGTCTGTCATTGAGTCGACCGGCGTGGTTTCGAAGGAGTGGCAAGGAGTAGGGTCGCCTGTCCAACCTCGTGGGTTTTCTCCAGGTCCTCCGGTTTCCTCCCACTGCAAAAGACCCCTTAGCGCAAGCGAATTATGTAAATAAAATTAAACCATATGTTAGTCCCGAAATGACCTAGTTTGTGTTGAGTGGACGTTAAACTCCATTTCTCTCTCTCTCTCAAACAACTGCCACAATATATGTTCGAATAAATTTTGTCTTCGAGTAAGGATGCACCATTGGCATTTTTCATGCAAATATCAAATTTCTCACACCTTAATCTGCGCTAATATGTACTCAGACTGATTATTTAATATTTAATTAAGAAAACAATATCAACATACTAACGCTAGATAATGTCCCAGCTTGGATTCAATCAAATTTAAAACAGGCCTATCATTAATTTTCATGGATTACAAAATGGTGGCAAGCTTATTGGATGAAATTTCAATATTCCACATGTAAATACTGAACGAAATTGAACCATCAATGGACTGATATTCCTATTAGAGATTAATATGTCACAATATTGTAGTTTGCAAGTGATTCATATATTGCTTAAAATGGCGAATCAGAACTTTAAGTTGGTATTCTTGTAAAATACGTAGATTATTTATGTATATTTATAAATACAAATTATATAAATTGTTTATATTTTTTTCAGTATTTAATTTTAGTAGTAGTCACTCAAGTCGCTGTGGTAGTTTGAGTAGCCAACCATCTCCTGTTAGTATGCACGGTAGTCATGGCAGCCCGATGAATACAGGATTGAGTGTAGTAGAGGAAGGCCCTGAAAAGTAGGTTTGAAATTTTTAAAAATATAATTGAATATTTTTATATGCTCACATTTTAATGTGGTCTTACTTTCTCTCGTCGATGTGTCTGTCTAAAATTTCTTGTTAAAACTCTAGACGCTACAATTACTATCGAGACATGGGCCAGAAAATGGTCCCCAAGCGTTACGCATCTTATGTACATTTATACCATGGACAGTTCCATGCTTGTATGCATGCTCAAGGCACTACACAATCTGAGTGCCATAATAGGCCATAAATAGATGAGTTTTTAAACTAGTTTTGAACGTTTCTAGGCTGGATGATAGTTTAATGTTCAGGGGTAAAATTCTAATTTTGTTTAGCTTGTTATTGATCCATCTTTTGCAAAATGTGGCCGTATCTTGCCTGGCAGCCGCTGGTTAAACTAGTTTTGAACATTTCTAGGCTGGATAATAGTTTAATTTTCAGGGGTAAAATTCTAATTTGTATATTTATTTCAGCATGGGAGGTTATTCACCTAATAATAGTTTATTGAGTCCGAGACCACTTCCACCTATACAACAGCAGACTCTACCACAACCTAGTATGAACATGGCTGGATATAATTATACTTACAATCAAGGTATACTTATTTATACTTTTCTATAGACACAAAATTTAATTCAGTTAGTCCCACGTGGGGGTTAATGTCTACTTCCACTGAGGGTGATATCGCTGATAAATGTTTCCTAAGAAACTTGCCAGAGGATCCAGTTGTCCAGCATAGAGTAGGAATGGAAGAACGAGAAAGGAATTCACAACCACTGCAATGGTGGTGGGCAGGTGGTAGATTACCCATGTTGCCACCTTTACCCCGATCTAGACAGGGTCGATACATAGAGTGATTATGCACTGATTGACGGTAGGACAACAAGGGCCCCAATTGCCATTCTCGCCCCGACTTCACTAATAAATAATGTAACCTTATCAGAACGATGTGGATGGTGGCAAGCAGGAGCTGATTAACCCTTGTTGCCACCCGGGGATCACGTGGCTAAGTGGGTAAGACGCTAACTCGCTAGCCTGGAGGTCGGGTGTTCGATCCCTGCATTGGCCGAGAAAGTTCATCCAGATTTTCCGGTGTGGTTCTCCCTTGTCAGTGATGCAGGACGCAGGGGCTGAAAAGGAAAGCTGTCTAGTCATTCGGATAGGACGAAAAACCGAGGTCCCGTGTACACATTGGCGTGCACGTAAAAGATCCCTTGGCAGTTTGAATTCGATATAAGAGTAGGCCGTAGTGCCGCTGTCCGGGCAAAATTTCCCTCATAGCACACTGTATGGCGTATGCCCGTCTTCATTAGCCCAAGTTAGGAGCAGAACAGTAGGACGTTAAACTCCATTTCATTTCATTTCATTTCATTTTGTTGCCACCCTCACATCATCCTTTATGTTGGCTTGATTATCAGTAAAACCAAGGGAGGTAATCATGACATTATAAATCTATTCAATTTGATTGATTGTTTGCATTTCAAAAAGATAAAATGTGTAATGAGTTAATGAGTGTCTTATATTTATTTTGGGATTGATTTGAGCAGACATCGTCCACAGAGTTGGCTTGTTTATATTGATTTGCTAGTTTTAACACAATAATCTAATCTGTTTTATTTCAGAAATGCCAAACACATATCAAGCATATAGTGCTGCTCCACGTAGTTCGTTTATACCTAGTAATAACGCCTACGCTACTACTAATAGTTGTAGAATGGGAATAGTGCAAGCTGAACGTAACTATAGTAACTATCAATCATATCACTATAACAACCAGTTTGACATGAACAACTTTAATCAACAACAAGGTAATTATATTTAAATATTTTGAAATTCCTTGTCAGCTTCACTACTTGAGTTCCCTTGGGCCTGAATTTATTTACCAGAACGAAAAAACATGTTTTTAAACTAAATCACTGGCAGCACGTTAAAAGATTCCCTGACACTAAAATGGTGTTTAACGTCTTACTGTTCAGTTCCGACTGGGCTAATGAAGACGTCCTGACACTTGGAAGAACAGTTGGTTGTAGCGACCACTGTCAGGGCAAAATATCTCTCAAGCTTATGTCCATCTTTAATAGCCTAGTTGGTGCAGAAGACAATAAATTTAAACCCATTTCCTAGGAATTGGGTAGTTCAGTGGTCTAAAGAATATGCTTTAGATCATAAGGTCTGTCATTGAGTCAAGTGGCATGGTTTTAAACCCAAGTCTGTACGTGATAAGTAGTAGTGTCGCCTTTCCAACCTCGTGTGTTTTCTCTGTGTTCCTCCCACTACTAAAGCTCCCTACAACCAGAGCAAATTATTTTAATAAATACGTTAGTCCAAAAATGAGACTTAGTTTAGTTTGTGTTGACTTTAAACCTCTTTCTCCTTTTCACCCTATCTCTTTCTCAGATTATTTTTAAAAAATTGTATCATGTTAGTCCCAAAATGACAAGGTTGGGTTGAGTGGACATTACCCCCCCCCCCCCCTCTCTCTCTCTCTCTCTCTCTCTCTCTCTCTCTCTCTCTCAAATTAATTTTATAAAATTGTGTCATGTTAGTCCCAAAATGAACCAGTTTGTGTTGAGTGGACATTAAACCACATTTCTCTATCTCTCATAGTCTCATCTCCTTCAAGTATATCTATTTATCAACTCTTTCAGGTTTTATGGATCCTACACAGGTTCAACCCATTGAATCATTTGGTGCTGATGAGGCGAATCTACAACAATATTTGCAGATGACCGCTGTTGAAAATAGCAACAGCCGAACATCGGCTCCTGTCTACGCAGAAGGAACATCCTAGAAAACAAACAAAGTGCTACATTAATATCAATTATCATTTATTATTATCATTTTTTTATTATTTTTATAATATTAATTAATATGCGCATATATTATTAAATTATATAGATTGTAATGGTTGTCTACATAGTGCTAATTTCATCATCATTTCATATAGCAATGGCTTAATAGTTTTATGGTTAAACAACATGAGCTTTTTGATTTGGGTAAAAAATAAAATGATTACTGTAATTAAATTTTATGTGTCAATTTATTTTGCAAATTGGATACCTGTCTAAAATTAAAAATTTAGGTATACGGATGGTTTTAGTTTTGAAAAAAGGAAATAAGACTAAAATTGCTGAAATAATAATTTAATGGAATGTGGCTTTAATCGAAATAACAGATCAAATTGACCTGTATTTTTTACCCAAATCAAAGGTTTAACTCCATTTTATTAATCAATGCCTTCCTAGAAGGGAAGATCAAGGATAGTTTTAAAGGACAACACCAGTCATTGCTGATTTTTTTAATTGTTTTGTTTATTTACAATGATGGACAGTTCCTCTCATGACATCATATACAATATGGTTATTTTGTAATTATATTCAAAATAATTGTATTTTTGGGTGTGCATGGGTGAAATAATATTAATATTAGATATTGAATGAAATATATAAAAAAAAACTACAAAGGCTGGTGTTCTCCTTAAATATATTGTTTTAGAAATCAAAATATGTCATTGTTTGTTTATTTTTGAATCATGGTTTTCATGTAAAATACATATCATTATATTTGCCATTAATATGTATATTAATATGAATTTTTTTTTATTTTCCCCGTTCCCTGGCAACCTATCTACCTTAAATATATACCTTACAGTAATTTGTATCTCAATAGTTCTTCTCATTAGACAGTTAAGCAATTTAAAGATGCATTATGTAAGAGCTAAATCTGACTATTACACTTCTTTATTTTGGCTTCAAATGTTATGTAAATTATTATTTAGACATTTATTCACATGACATTTCTATAACCAACTCTCTAGTTCATCGGATGGTGCAAATGTAAACAGATTAAAATAAGATTGCCATTTAATGATTTAATTTAAAAATGGAGAAGCGAGGCTGAGTCTCGATTAACAAGTAACAATAAACAGTCTGTCAAAAACTCAAACATTAATTTTGAATTATCTATTTTGGAATTATTAAAGCAAGAACGGCCAGTTCTCTATCTAAATCTTACATAATGCATCTTTAATTGTAAACCCTTACAAGTACATTTATTAATCGAAATTTAAAAGGTTTTTTCTTAGTTATAAAGTTACATAGTCCAATTTATTAAGGATCCTTAAAAGGATTTTTAGTTGATAAGTTAACTTTGTCATTTTTATTGTTGAGATTTAAAGGTTTTTTTTGTGTTTTTTTTTGTTATTAACTTAACTTGATCCAATTTTTGTTGATATTTATAACATTTAGATGTCATTACATGACTTTGTCCGATTTTTTATCGCTGAAATGATTACAGATTGAAGTATTTCTAGTTATGTATTCCATACAAGTCTGTTTCGAGTTCAGATAGTTTGTTAAAGAATTAAAGAAACCGTCCATAATGTTATTCTTGTTTAGAAACAATTGTCTCCGTCCTTTTTTGTTACATTGCTGAATTTATATTTTTATTTGTTATTTTATATTTTTCTATTTCTGTAAAGTTTTTAGATTAATAAGAATCTGACCGACTTTGCAAAATTTTTTTTTTTTTTGTTTTTTTGTACAAGCTGGTCAATTAACAATATGATAATACATCGTTCAATTTTATATCCACAGTTTGTTACTAGTATAAATTAGGAAAAAAATAACCTTGACTCTAATGATTTTCTCTTGTCTATTTCTTTCTTCTCAGAAATTGTGAATTACTGATAGATATATTTTCTCTTTTGAATGGGATTAAGGGCCATTCAATTTGAAATTACATTTTAGGAAAAAGAAGAACTCTTTTTAAAACGATGGGATTAAGGGCCATTCAATTTGAAATTACATTTTAGGAAAAAGAAGAACTTTTTTTAAAACGATGTTGTCTAGAAAAAATTGAATTGTGTCGGTTTGCATTTTTGGGGGTGAGTGGGAATGGGGCAGGGGTCTGTTAGATTCTATTGATAGAGGTATTTTGATTGTTGTGCATGCAATATGTAAATTTCTGTCGGTACAAAGGTTAACAGAAATACATTTTTGGGAGTGTATAAAGTAGCACCCCTCCCTCCCTTCATTCTCTCCCCCAGTTAGATAGATAAATATAAGGAATAGTGCTAATAGTATTTAAGTCATTTTAATATGAGCCCAGTAGTGTAATATATAAATACGTTATTAATATGGTAACTATTTATGGTGAAACTTAGAATTCAAATTTGGCTAGACATTCATCTACACATTGTCACGAATAAACATTCTGTCATACTGCATGGAGTATTTCTATTTTTATGAGCCTGGCTGAAGCACAAAAATAAAGACGTTGAACCCCATTTCCTTTCATTCCTGATGACGTGAAGATGAAATATGTTACATCCTGCTGAAAACCTTTGTGATATTTTTTTTTACAATATTCTTAACAAAAATTGCGATATATGTCAAGTTTTCTGTGATAAATAAAGGGTATTAATTAGAATAGTTTCTACTAGATAGAGGATAAAAGTGTAAAATCAACGTTTAAATTATTGTTGCTTGGTTGGGAATATTACTCCTTTCTACCTGGATGGATTTAGATTCTGCGGTATCTAATTTTAGAATCTGGACAAATATATTTCTTGCCTGACTTGTTTTATTCAAATTTCTATCATCGTTGCTAATTGTCAAGTTCTCTGTTGTATTTTTAGACATACCTCATATAGCCAGAGAGACCCCTCTCTAGTATACTTGTAGTCTTGGTTACAAATCTGAATAATGTTTGTATTGAGTAAAAAAAATCTGAATAATGTTTGTATTGAGTAAAAAAAATTGCATTTTTTATGATCCCCATGGAGTCTTATTCACAAATACTTAAACTAAAATACTTTTAAAGATTCTGCATTTTTATTGGCTGAGAATTGAAATCTTAGCTAATGAAATGGCCCAAAAGTAGGAAATCGGTTAATATACTTGTACAAATTTCTGTAGAAATTTTTTTTTTAAAATTCTAGTTAATATGTGTGTAAATGTATCTTTCCGTTTAAGACTTTTACTGTTAAAGCTTGTGAACACGCTACAGAAAATTTTTCAATGGAATCTACATTTATTTTCTTGATGAGAATGATATTGCCTCTTTATGTTTAAATTTCAATACTAATTAAATATATAGTGAATGTTGATATAGTTATTTTTAACATTTCTATTAAGACATACCGTCCAACGCCATCCCTCCATCTATACCATCCTGGTTTTTTTCATTGGACAGCACAGTTACTAATCGGACGAATAAAGCCACTTGATCTTTGATCAACACAGAAATCTTCAAAAGAAAACCCCTAAGAGAGATGTGCGCCTTTACCCAAAGGATTAACTTTGGTCATGGTCTGCAAGTGTGCTAGTCTGTCTCGCATCGATTACCATATGTAGCCGCATTATAACCCGTTTGGTGCGGATGTGCCATAAAACAACATTTCATTTCATTTCTATAACTGTGCCATCCAGCGAATAAACCTCCCTCCCTCCATTCATACATTTTAAGTATTGCAATATAACGACCCTGTGATTGTAGAAACTGATTTTATATAAAAATAAAACGTTTGAATTAGTTGATAGATGTACATAAATAATAATAATAATAATGTCCACCATGTCCACCATTGTGCTTATGACTCTTATTAGTTTTGTAACATTAATATCGTTTGTGTATTTTATATCATGTATTTCATTTGGATGAAAAATGTACTCAAGGATTATTGGTCCACGGGCTAATAAAGTTGTCTTGTCTTGCGGCAATTTAATCCCAGCCTCCCAGTGGCAATTTTTTATTAAAGTTCAGATTGGCTCAAGAATTTCGTTATGTCTTTTTTGTTGAATTACATTTGTTATTTGTTTGTACTGTTTGTTATATGTTGTTTAGACTAGGTCTCCAAGACTAACATAAGTAACATTATGTCTTTGTTGTTATATCCAATGTGTCTTGGTGACCTAGTCTATGGGAACGAGCATCTATTTTGTGATTTATTATTTACTAACAAAATAACTCATTGTATTTCATATCTTGAGCTTTTACTGGAACTTTAAACAGAGAGAGAGGCAAATGGGGTTCATGGTCCACTTGACATAACCCATGTCTTTATGGGACTAACATTGATAGCCAATCTGATTAAAATACAGATGTATATTTCATTTCGTTTTATTATACTTTCGATGGCCTACACTACATGAAGATCTGACAAGTTATAGCGATAGGTCATGTCAGGGGCCAAAAGACCGACTTTTGACCTATGAAGACAGACATTTGATTAACCAATCAGCATTGATGTTACTAGTGGATTACCCACAGTTCCGGGCAAAAAAGGTCAAACAATCGATTTGACAGACCATTTGAAATTTTGAACTATAAAAACGAAACGAAATAGGATCTGTGTTTTAACCAGATTGATCGATAGCCTACAAATTTATTGATTGACAGATTTCAATTTCTGATGTCTTAATTCCAAGATTCCTGGTTCATAGTAGGGTAGGATCATGCTTGTTTTAACAAAGTGTATTCAAACTTTTGTCATTATTAGGATTTTTTATCATCCAAAAAAACAGTAGGAATGAAATTATCCAGTCCCTTTGACTCTCCATTATCATCTGACTGTCCATTGTCCAGCTCCTTTGACTCTCCATAATCATCTGACTGTCCATTGTCCAGTCCCTTTGACTCTCCATTTTCCAGTCTCTTTGACTGTTCATTATCCAGACCCGTTGACTGTTGTCCATCATTCAGTCCCTATGACTGTTCATTATCCAGACCCTTTGGCTGCCCATTATTCAGTCTCTTCAATTGTCCATTATCCAGACCCTCTGAATGTCCATTATCTGATCCCTTTGACTGTCCATTAATTAGTCCCTCCAATTGTCCATTATTCCGTCCCTTTGATTGTCCATTATTAAGTCCTGGGACCTATCCATTCCTTGCAGAAGTCACCAATGATCCATTGTATATATTTATAAATATTTTATATTTGTACAAAATTTTATTTTGAGTTTTTGTCGGACTAAACGATGTCGTAAAGTATATTTAGTACCATTCCATCCATAATTTGTCTTATTTATATGAATTGCATCCACATTTTTGTACATTATTAAGTAGAATATTCCCTCTTTTCGTTTATATTGTGTCTTAGGCTAAGTAAGTTGTTAAGACATTATATATTTAAATCCGTTAACAAGACAGACCTCTCATTAGTCATAATATATGACAGAACTGTTTGGGAAATTGATGCTGATGAGAATTTTCCTTTTCAATCAATTTAATTGGCCTCTCATTACAGTCATAATATATGACAGAACTGTCCAGGAAATTGACGCTGATGAGAATTTTCCTGTCAATCAATTTAAATGGCATAGATTTAGATACTTCTAACAATGTTCCCTCTAAAGCAACGACTGCACAAAGAAAACTGAAGTGCACACAAATTTTCGGCTGTATAAAAATATTCAGGTTCTGAGATACCGATGCAGAAGTTTTATTTCAAAAAATAAAACTTTTTAATCGATGATACGGTTTTATTAGGCATGATAGATAGGCTCTGCCAAAATTATCTTAAAACATTTTCAAATTTACATTTGTACAAATATCTTGTGCATATGCATGTACTATTGTCACAGGAATAAATGTTGCATCAGATTTTTGCATACTGACAACTAAAAATTAGAGGGAGCATTGCTTCAAACAATTTAATCATAAAACAATAACTGCTGTTAAATTTATGTTTTTTAATTGTAGATATTTTCTTTTTATACCTTTGAAAATAAAAGTGCTATTATTTAAATATACATGGGTTTTTTTGTCATTATTTTTATATTGTTTTTGAATTAAATCATAAATTTAATATAAAGCTGTGGGTTTGTTTTTGTAAATTATCAACTTTTTTATTTTGATTTTAAATAATTAAAAATAAATGTTTAACTGCTGAAATTTGTTTTTGTATTGTTAATATAAGAATTAAAAAAAAAATCTTTTTAGATTTCATATTTTTTGCAGGAAAAATTTGTTGAAAATAGCATTCCCTTTTCATTAATTTAAAATCCATATATTAGTATTTTGAAATTGAATTCTTTCTTTTAATTGCCATCAGAAATTTTTGAATTGTATTCAAAAATAGAAATATTTAAATAGATTTATTTTTACCTTTTGTAAAAATATATATTAAGGTCCGATTTTTCTCTGAATTAATGAAAAATTGGTTGGTAGAAAAAAGTGAGAATAGAATTTCAAATTTTAATTTAAGTTGAATCCCAGTGCCTTAAGTTGTAATAAATAAACTCTAGTTTGTGTCATTTTTTATATTTATTTTTATTTTAAATATTGCGTATAACAATGGCTATTGTACATTCAGTGGAAATGAAACTAGATCTAGAATAACATCCCGATGTGACGATGTAGAAGATGATTAAATTATATAAAATAATGTATTTTATCCTGTAATTGTTAATTTTTTACGTCATTAAATGTACTGTGATCATCTGGTGATTTTTAAAGTTATTTGTTTTATCTTGATATGGGGCTGGGTGACTAATTAACCTGGAGGCCCCATGTTGTTTATTTATCTTGAGGGATGTGTGCAGCTCCTTGAGTATGGTGCTATTTCACCAACCAGG